GGTGATAAAGTATAAAGTCTTTTGTTGTGTTCTTATATTGATATCAAGTCTGAGCTTCCCAGACCTTCCTGGGAGGACTTGTGGGACCATCAGTGTTTCCTGCAAGTTTTCAAGGCTCAATCCAAAAATGTGCCAGGCACATGCTTTGCTGGCCTGGACCAAATTGCTCTGCACCATCCATAGTTGAGCTCTAACACTGTAAACATATTGTTTAACCAGTTAACTGATTAAATGGGGGATACCCCACCTCGCTGCAGGCAGGGGCTGCACCGGGCCAACGCACCCTACAAGCAGGGACTGCTTCAGTGTCCTGGCCAGAGCAGCCCCTGCCTGCAGGGTGCCCAGGCCAGCCTTGAATAGAGGCTGCTCCAGCCCCCACCAGTTAACCTTAACTGGTAGGCCTCACCCAATAAGGGTGCAGTTACACTCGCACCCTGTTAATCATTCACATCTCTATATTAAGTTAAATGTGAGTTAACGGACATAAAAAAGGTGCCATAAAAATTGCTTCCCCTCAACTTTCAGTCACTTATGATTAAGGCCCTTTCAAATTTATGGGTGTGAAAAACATGCTCCTGCCATTCATCATGCTCCAGCTGCTCGTTCACTGGGCTGGGAGGTGACACTGTGGGAGATCAGACCACCTCTGGGTACCTTCACTTGCTAGAGGAAGCTCTGTGGCTGCTTGCAGCTCTGAAGCAGCATGAAGAAGATCAGACTCACCATGCCACCTCCAAGAATTTCCCCCTTGGGAGGTGGTTGCTAGGTCAATGGAAAAATTCTTGTGCTGATCTAGCTGCATCTGTGTCTGGGTGGTGTTACATCAGTTAACTATGCTACACAGGGCGAATTTGAATGTTTAGGTGCAGAGCAGGACTAAGACAAGGTATAAATCTAAAAAACATTCCTGAAAATTTTCACATGACACTACAGTAACTGCATGCTGCTACCAAAACTTATTCACTGAACTAAGCTAGCTATCGTTTTGCTTTACATTGCTAAAATAGCTATTGCAGTCTACCCCTCAAGTGACAACATGTCAGAGGTAAGTGACGTGATTCCTTTACAATTTACCAAGCACTTTGAGATTATTTAGGATGAAATGCATTACAGATCTACAAAGTATTTATGCATTAATTAAAATAAATAAATATTAAGAGAATCACAAAGAGGGATCCAGCATTTGATAATTTCCCATATAATAATACTTCTCTCTTTTCCTCTCAGAATTACAAATCATCTCACAAATAAAATATCCTTATGAGGTCAATGTTGATTTCATGTTATCAATGGGGAAACTGAGGCAATGAGCTAATATGCAAATCACATTAAACTGTATAAATTCTTTTAAGAATGAAATAAAAGTTCATTTTACCATTAAGGAATTAGTGTTGTTTTATTGACACCACTTAATTCAAGCACTTCTAACTATAATATATATGACGAATGCCACAAGGAGTCACATTAGGAAATTCAAAAGGAAACATTGCTCTTACAGTATTACTTTGGCCACCCTGCAGAGTCTGTAAGTTTTGTGTTAAATACCATAGTTAGACAGTCATTAAAGATTATATTTAAAAGGGAATATGGAAACAGAATATGTATGGGCAATGTAATCAAATTAATATTGCAGGAACTTTAACTTTTATTTTATTTATTTATTTAAATATTTTTATCCCACCTTTCTATGTAAAATATTCAAGGCAGCTTACAAAAAAAACAAAACAAAACAAAAACACCACACAGTTTGGACTGTGTGTCCTAAATGTTTGACTTTTTCCCATCTTAATGCTACTTTAATGGTTACAATTTGTGTGTGTATTTTGCTTTAAAAAATGGAGGGGAGTTTCCACAGGCCTATTCCAACTGAGGAGTTTTTAAGCTGTACTGGCTTTGCCAATGAATAGAGCCCTATCAAATTCATAGTCCATTTTGGTCAATCATAAGATTGTATTGTACATTTTTGCCACCCTTACTTCTGTAGTGTTGCTGGCTGTGGCTCTGCCGTCAGAATTGGGCTCCAGGTCTCCAGGCCCCAGCCACTGAGCTCTGAAGGCAGCGCAGAAGGGTAGAAGTACTGACACCCTAATACAGTGCTGATTTCTACACAAACTAAGTAACCTACATCTTAAAGCCTCAGATTACAAAGGGCCTCTAAAGAACAATAAAGAAACCCACTAGTTTTTAGTACACATGCAAATACAAAAACTTTACCATTTCCATTGTCATTGCCCCTTCTGTTAGAACCATACACATTTGTTGGTCATTTTACGGGGCTTTATCTTGACATAGTTTAGGGCCTCAGCAGGTCTTAATGCACCCCTGGACACATCCCTAAAATAACCCTGAGACCCTCTCCCCCAAGTCCCTTTTGGGTCTGGACCCCTCATTTGAGAAGTGCTGGTCTCCCCTTGAAAGCTGCATAGTATAAGGTAAAAGGAAACACCCACACGCACAGACCAGCAGTCCTGGCCCCTGACGTGTTTTTCAGGCTGTGAATTAGGACTGTAATTGGTTAACTGGTTATATGCTCCCTAAAATAACCCTGAGACCCTCTCCCCCAAGTCCCTTTTGGGTCTGGACCCCTCATTTGAGAAGTGCTGGTCTCCCCTTGAAAGCTGCATAGTATAAGGTAAAAGGAAACACCCACACGCACAGACCAGCAGTCCTGGCCCCTGACGTGTTTTTCAGGCTGTGAATTAGGACTGTAATTGGTTAACTGGTTATATGCAGCCGTTAACCAGTTAAAGGGGTGGGGGGGGGGGGGGGTGCGGCGCCCCCCT